ATTGTGGAAGCACGACATAAAAGTGGCGCGTGATTATAACAGAAAATTAAGTGAAAATGACGATCGAATGGTTCGTCAATTAGCAGAAGAGATATCGTTTGAGAAAAAGCACAACGAAAAAACAATGCGAAATGTGTACCGTAAAACACCAACGACATCACTGTTGCCCGATATCGATCCAATTGCCATTCATACAAGCTTACATGCACCAAGTGTGTTCGATGAGCCACATCATGCTGTGAATAATAATTACAGTCATTCAAAGCATCAAAATCTACCATATTCACCGCAAAGATCATCGCACATTTCCAATTTGAAAGTGTTGTTGAATGTAGGCCAAAATACGAGCAATGAAAATGATCGACCGGGCCCATCGACTTCGACAAAACGATTTCATAAAATTATTGACACAGCGACCAATATTAGAGATTTAAAAAAATAATAAAATTTAAACAACAGTAGAATTCGATTAATTCGATCCAGATAAAATGTTTTATTGATAAAATTAGCTAGTTTTTTTTTTGATTTCTTGTTTTTACATACAAGAAAAACTATTGCAATAAATATGCTATGAGTAATAAATGAATTGAATAAAATGTTTTGAATTATGTGATTGAAATCAAGTGAAATCAGAACTGTCCTTTGTACCTTTCAAGGAAGTCCAAGAGTCCAGCCAGTCGGAGCTTATGTCTGTGAAGTAAACGAAAACGGTTTTTTTCAATATAGTTTCGTCTGTGTGATTGAACTTTTTTATACACTTACTTGTTCTTTCGGCGCGATTGAACTTTCTTGATGGGAATAACATCCAATTTGGGTTGCTCATCAACAGCAACTGGATTAACATGTTCTGGTGACAATTCCACACCTTCATCTTTGACACCCTCTTTGACGACAACAACGCGTTTCACACTGTTATCTTTGATTTGTTCAGGTTTCAATTGAACTTTCTTTTTATTTTTATCGTCTTTAGCTGGTTCGGTCGCTTCTTTCTCGTCTGATGGTGCCGTCACACCGTTTTCATTATTTGCATTTTTCACAAATGGAAAATAATCACTGTCATCATCGTCGTCGGTGCCCGCTGCCAATTGAAGTAAATAGTTAGCCGCTAAATTACCGACAGCACTGCTGGCCTGATTCGATTGTGACGAAGGGAATGCCAAAATTACACCATTTACGCGAAAACGAATATTTTCAGTTCCATTTTGCCGTTGATCATAAGTTAAATCGTGTTCGGGTACATTTGGTGGTTCTTCAATTAGGTTGTCCAATAACATAAAATCGACCGGTGATGCATTGTATATTTTAAACAGAAAGAACCAAATTGAACACCAAACAATAAACAAATTCTGATTGAATTTACACATTTTTCAATTCGATGTTGATTTCCGTGAGTATGCAGTAAATTCTCCAAATAGAGACACAATACGAAATGAACAACTGATTCGAACGGAAAGTTAGCAATGACTGAAAGTTGATCTCACACACTCTCCAACAGAATCGCTGCTCGGAATGAGCGATCAAATGAAGAACGAAGAAATGTTCAAAGCAAAATACACAAAGAAAAGGTCGCAAAAAGAACGGTTTTACATTGCATAAGCTGGTTTTAATGTATATATGTACAAACACGCAACCGAACTGGTATTCTCACTTTAAAACAGTCGAGAAGAGAAAGGCGAGATCAAATAACATAAATGTTCTTTGCCATCTCGTGAGGCGGCTGTAGAGTGAAAAGAAGAAGAAGCAAAAAAAAAGTACGAAACCAAAAAAAGATTATTGTTTTTTTTTTAACTCTGATAGATCTGCAATAAATTACGAATGCACACATTTGCTATACGATTTTTTTCATACTCTCTTCATATTTCGAAGCTCGTTCAATCTAATAATCATTGTAAACATGCATGAACTTAGTTTAGTTTTAGAAACTTGTGTACAACACCGCGCAAATCTCATGCTCGCGGGCGTACATACAACACTGCATCTTTACATAGCATGTATGCTAACATGTAATGCTGAAGGTAAAGTTAACGGAAGAAATGGCAAAAACAAATGAGAAAGATGTTAAACGATATATAAGGTCAATAACCGAAAACAGCGAAATGTTCTATAGTGTAATGCAGCTGTGACACTTTGCTCATATGAGCCTCATAGATGCGCAAACGAATGGTTGTATGGGAGAAAGAGTACGAGAGAGAGAGAGAGAGTTTCAATCAAAAAACAGCATATACAATTTTCACACAACATTCATTTTATTTGAAATATAAAAAAAGAGAACTCAAATTCGATTTTTATCGGCTATAAACTCAATTCGAAAACCCGTTATAATTGATTGTTGAAAGAAAGATATAAAAAATTAAAATCGAACGACGTTTAATTGGATGACTCTTGATTTTGATTTGCGTCACCATTCGTTGGTAAGACTTCGGCTGGTTGATTGCTCTCATTTTGATTGTCTGCTCGGTTCGGCTCATGTTCATGTGTTTCATTCGAAATGTTAGCATTTTCTGCAGCATTTGTATTACTGCCATGGCGACTGTGCAAATGTTCTAATTTTGTATCAACATCTGTTGCTCGTCGATTAACCGATTTCATTTGATTCATATACGCTTGAGTTTCGGCTTCAATTCGCTTCAAACGTTCATCTCTACGTGAGCACCACTCTTGTTCAGCGGCACTTAAACATTGCTCATCATTGGACGCTATCTTTTCTCTTTCGGAAGATGATGATGGCGATGTTGACGAAAATGAGGATGATGATGATGGTTGTGTTGATTCAGTCGTTTCATTTTGATTTGATAATAATTCACACGATACTTCCGCGACATTAGTATTTTCTCCAATTTGAGTTTCATTGCCATAACGTCCGTGTAAAAATTCCAATTTTGTATCAACATCTGTTGCACGTTTATTGATTGATTTCACTTTATTCATGTATGCTTGCGACTCGGCCTCAAGTCTCTTCAAACGTTCGTCTCGTCGCAAAAGATATTCTTTTTCGTTGGCACTTAAGCATTGTTCATCGGATTTTAAGTGGGTTTCGGTCTGTGTCTTTTCCATTTCAGAAGTCGATGGTTCAGTTTCATCCGAATCGATTGGTTTTTCAGTTGATGGTGTAGTTTCGCGTGTTGGTGTATAACGACTATGAGCATCGTTAATGCGTTTTTTCAGATCATCGCCACGGTTTGAAGCTCGAGTCACTTGTGTTAGCAATTGTTTGCACTGTCCTTCCAGTCTTTCGATTCTGGCCAAACGTTTACGTTCTTGTTCTTCTTGATTTATTGACGATGTTGATGGCAAATCAATAACAGGTTGACTGTTCGAACAAACTTTGTTTTTTTGATTGTTTTGAACGTCATTAGTCTCATTACATTGATTTCCAGTTTCTGTTTCTTTCGCACCGGACAGTCTCAAAAACATATCTTCTAATGATTCTTCATTCTTACTTGGCGTCACTTTCGTGGCACTTTTTCTGAGTTCATAGCTCATTACAGTTTTACTTGTCGATGCTTTCGATTCGACCAATTTTTGAGCATTGCTCAGCTCATGCTTGGCACTGAAACTATGAATCACCGGTTCGGATACTTTAACTTGATTTATTGTTTTTTGTTCTTCCGCATCAAAGTGAACGGTGTGCTTCACACAATTCTCACCACATTCAGCGCAAACAATCGTAACAATTGGTTGCACTATATCCGTTGTGGACTGAAATTCTTCGGTGGCATATTGTGTTAAGTGTGAGTCGCTGTTTCGACGTGAAATGTTCACTTTCGCATTTCGTATAGGCGATACACTATGGATACGAATTGTCTTTCGATCTTTTTCCGGACAATTTAAAAAATTTTCGACATTCATTTTTTTCTTCAATCGACTGCAACGCGGTTTTTCAATTGAAACGCTGCTATCTTCTTCGTCATCATCTTCAGATGCTGGACTATCGCTGTATCCTGATTCACCGGACATATTCAAATCATTTTCTTTACGCTTGCTGAATTCAAGTCGCAGCGTTTCCCATTGACTTTGTGATTCGTTGTTCTTTTCTTTGGCCAGTGCCCATTTCTTTCGGCAATACTCCAATTCTTCCTTCAATTCGCTTAGCATACGACGCTTTTGTTGCAACTGATAGCGCAATACTTGCTCATGCGTATGTAATTGACGGTGTTGACGTTGCATACGACCCACTAAGTTCCATGTTTTATTCAATTCAATTGTTACTGCTGACAAACGTTGCTCCTGTTCATCCAAACGGCACTCGAGGTGGGCATTTAAATTTTTTATTTTTTTCGTTTCTTTTTGCAAGAATTTCTTTTCCATTATCAAATCCTTTAAGCGAATGTATGTTTTGCTTACGCTCAATACCATTTGTGGTCCACTTGGTGTTTCGACTGATTTGTAACAATGTTCACCCTTGTTATTCTCCTGAAAATGAACGAATATTTGAAAAATACCGCTTCAATTTAAGAACATGCAGAATGAGGCCTCACCTTCAATTCAACCGGCTTCGATTGTTGATGGTTTAAAAGTTCCGTCAAAACTCTCCATACTTTTGGCAAATTATGAATAATTTCTTGGGCTGACGACACTTTTGAAGCATTTGTATCGATGGCCGTGGCACCGTCACCATCATTTGGATTTTCTTCAGTTTTGTCGGATTGTGATACCAAGTCAAATATTAATTTTGGAATTTGAGCCGCTCCCTCTTTGGAATCTTCTTTGCTGGTTATATCGTTTAATAAATCGCGATTTTCCTCCAACATCAAAGTCAATTTATCAATATCGATGTTATTGCTGCCATTGAACCCCGACAACAGCTGACCGAATAGCTAAAAATATTAACGATATTCATAAAAATATGTACCACTGCACTTGAATCTATAACATACCTGATTCACAACGGTCATCTCATCGCGTAATCCTCTATTTTCAGATTTGTAATAAGTGAGCTTCTCTTTCGTTGCATACAAATCGACTGTCGTTGTTTTTAAGTCAGTATCAAGCGATGCGATGTGATCTTCAAGATTTTTGTTCCTGTTTAAATAAAATGATACACACATCAAACAGAATTGATATAAATTCGCTTGAAAGATATTTGCGCAAGGAGTCACTCAACCGAAATTGTGAATGGTGACTAATAGTAATGTAAAGAGAATGATTTCAAATGCATTTCACAGTGGGCCATGTATCAGTAAAATCGGAGTCGCAAATGTTGTTTACTTGCAACAGAAAAACGTCACTCTATCATACTTAAGCAGCATAATATTATACATAAAATGTGTTGGCATCGCATAGCTATATAAAAAACTTCTCTAAACTGGTCAAATCACATGAACGATGTACGAGCACGCGATGAAATGTGATGAATTGGTTTATTTTTAGTTTGTGTTTGGCATCAAATCGAACGCACGTCATCAACAAAACGCAGAAAAATTTACGAAGGCGAAAGATCACCAAGAGCATATCAAAATAACGAAATTCGTATCAAAAGGCCCTTATTACGAAATTAAATATGTTCCACTTTTTTGTAAATTTTCCCCCTCCATTTTAGATGGAATGCCACATCTGGTTAAATAAAAATCAATAAAACTTACTTTTCAATTTCCGAACTAAGCTCAGCACGACTGGTTTCCAATTGACGATTTAGATTTTCCTTTTCGGCTGCACTTATGCGAGCTCGTTCTTCATACAAGGCGCGTAAATTTCGTATATTTGCGAGCTGTCGATCATATTCCTGCCGCAAGTTCTCGGACATGACATGCAACTCACGTTCGGCCAGTGAATTTTCGATTTCTTTTAATTTTGATTTCAACTAAAAATAGACAGAACAATATTATGCAAATGGAAATTCCTGCCATATCTCCATGTGAACCGTGCGTTATTTTCGTTCGAATATTTTATTACCTGCGACAATTCAGTTTCACGAATTTCAATAATTTCTTTGCTAGCTGCAATAACCTCTTTCAATGATTTTGCTTGATTTTTTGTGGCCGCCAATTCAGTTGAAAGCGTCAATATTTCAGCGTTTGCATTTTGAAGGGAAAATTGAAGCCCAGCCAGCTGTGTACGAAGTCTAATATTTGTATCATTTGATTCGCCATTTCGTTCGATATTCATTTGAGTTTGTAGATTTGATTTTACATCGCATTCAAGTGAATTGTATATGCTGCCACAAATTTGGCAAAGATTTTCTTTATTATGATCGTGTTTCAATTGTTTTGTGATCTCTTTTTCTTCGGCCAGCTGCTGACGTAGACTGCTAATTTCATTTCGCAATTCACTAATTGCGTTTGTTCGCATTTCACGTTTAATTCGCAATTCTTCTTTAAATTCTTCAAGGCTTTGCTGCCTTTCTTTTGAATTAGATTCGATGACCGACACATCACTTTCGTTCGTTTCATTCGATGAAACATTTTCATTTTCTACAATTTCTATTTCATTCACTGTACTTATCGAAGGTTCAGAGCTCTCGGTTTCAGCTCTTTGGCCCTCAATACTATTTGTATTTGATGAATTATTATTGGCACTATCCATTTCGCTTGGATTTAATTCTAAATTTTGATTTTCAATTGGCCACCAAGGATCATCGCTTCTATCACGAACTGGCGTCGACGGTGAACTAGGTGCACTACCCATTTTATTGTTTCGATTTCGCCTTTGGGCTCAGTGTCGTCGGAAGAAATAAAAACAAATTGCGATTTAATTCGAAATTTAATTCCGTCTTAAACAAAGAAATTCCGCCTTAATCTCAGACAATTTACGATATACTATGTATGAAATACATATAAACGAGTTATCTATATGATTGCGAACGTTGCACTTTTTTGTTATTCGTTGATTTTCTTTTTATCTTAATTAAACAATGAATGTGTGTTTTTTTCCTCTCTCTCGATATGAATTTTCCGCTGAACTCAACGTTGTCCGTTGTCGTCTTTTTTTATTTTTCGTTTGGTTGAGCGTATTCACTTTGCCTATATCGGCCGTGGTTCACTGTTCAACTGAAACATGGCATTTTCACGTCCCAAGCAAATGCGATCACTTGACGACGATTTCACAATTCTCATTTCACCGAAGCTAAAAATATACGCTCGAAGCAGTGAAGGCGTCGTTTTTCTTTCGCATAACATGCAGATGAATCTGAATATGAAAAACGTGCCGCTGATCGGTTTGTGTTCAATGGGATTTTCATGAATTTTCACATATGTGCACATATGTTTGTTCATTGATTTTAAATTTCATCACGTGAATCGAATAAGTTCACAGACAAGTATTGTCGATTCATATGCTTTTTCTTGTCTTACCGGTCACCAGACGATCGTCGATTGGAATCAAAAGTGGAAAAACTTTAATGAGTACTGAAAACCTGAAAAAAAAGAACACTTTTACTCAACTGTATACAATTTTAAGAGGCAGCAAAGGCGTCACAAATACCCAGAGTATTTTTTTGAATTTTTCAGAAAAAAATGTATAACATAAAAGTGAGTAATATCTCATTGACTCACTGGGCCCACCTCAGAGATAGTCATGACTCATGAGATTGTAATATTGCAAAAAAAAAATCAATTATTGCCTGAAAAGGTGTTAAAATCTTTATTTAAAAATAAAAAACGAATTGAATTTTATGAATTTTTTTTCAGTTTTTTCTCTCTTTATTTTGAATTTTTTTTATACTTTACTTATTTCCAATGTTCGTAGTTGTTTCGATTTTCTCGCTGTTTGTGTGTGTTTTTTTAATTTTTGTTTAATAATAATTGATTCACTTTGAATATGTTTTAATCAACACAGTAGACAAACCGAAAAAGTGATTTATTTATTGGTTGCCATGTAGAGAGCATGAAATATGTGTAATTTTGTCGTTTGCTGTAAGTATAACGTTTTAAATGGGGGAAAAATTGCATTTTAAATTGTTTCTATTTAACAAACTGCACATCAAAAAATTGTGTAATGAACAAGAAGCAAAAAATTCGGCTGGAGTTTTCTTTAAGGTTTTATTTTCATAACTAGATTTTTTTTTTGGTATATTTTTGGTTGGATTTTTTTCTTCATCTTTCATTTAGAGAGAGCAAATTTTTTTTTTTGATTAAATTTATTACATGAATTGAGCTGCGTGTTTTCGCGCATGCCATTGAAAGGGAAATAAATTTGTTCCTTTTATAAAGATAAAGTTGCATAAAATGTGTGTGTTTGTGTGAATGATTTATTCAAACGTCAGAAATATGCGAATGATTCGAATAATATGTGTTTGTAAACTTTTCACGTTTTTTTTTTTGTATGTTTGTTTATGGTTTGTTAAATTTGAATGATGCTACAGAAATGTGAGTGAATGTGTAAGTATTTCAAATGGCATTTGTATTTAGGTGTCGCGTGCGTGCATGTTGTGCTCCTAGAAATCGGAACACTATTTAGTTTAGATACTTCTTACAATATGTGTTTTTTTACGGTCATTTTCATCTTCTTGGATATGCGCTATTTGCTCATTTTTTCTAATAATTTCACTTTTGATATTGTACAATTGTTGTGAATTGCAACAGTGACATTTTGTCCGACGAAAAAAGACGGACACATTCGTACAAAAACTAAGCCGGAAGAAAAACCATTGTGTCTACATCACAAAAATCCAGAGTGTTGAGCATCAATATTCAGATGTGAATGGGTTATTTTAATTTGTATTTGGTTTTTTTTTTAAATTTTTCTCGTATTTTCATTCCTCAAAAAATCTACATCATTTGTGCGATTTGTTTTGTAGACTACTGCAAAAAATTCACGTATAAAAACGTTCAGTGTGTGTTTTATATTTATAGTGGCTATCTATTGATGATGGTATAAATTCTAATCTCATCGGTTTTGCTTTTTGTTTGGTTTCTCTGAGATGATGCGTGCACACTAATATGAAATATTTTCGTTTTGAATTTGGATGACGACTGCATGAATTTTTTATTTTTGTATCTCTTCTCATCGAATGGATATGCTTTCTTTTTGGAGCGCGTGAGAGAGAGAGATAGAGTGAGTGAGAGAGAAAAAAATGTGTCCGTTAGTGCTTTACAAAAAAATTGTGCAAATATTTTGTTGTTTTCGTTTTAATTCCATAAATTGTTGGTCATTAAATGTTCATTGTTTATATCGATTTATTGTTTGAAATGTATCCGGTCTTATTCAACAACAATTTTTTTTCTTCTGCTTACTTGTTGCGCATAAAATGTTTAACTTATTTCTTTGCCATCATCATGAACGTCTACCGACTTATTTTCGTTAAATTTTTCTTCAGCGTCTGTTGTTTTTCTTTGTTTCATTTCATCAATAACTTACGATTCGAAATAAATAGCTGTTAGGTTAATAATAGACTCTCTTAACATTAAATATATATTTAATACGGTTTAATTGATAGTATTGTACAATTTGTTTAATCTTTTGTTCGGTTCTTATTTTCTTTTTTTTTCTTTATCTTAACCACTTTTAATATAATATATATAGTGAAATGAGTCAATTACTTATCTAGTTTAGTTTGGAAGACTTAACAATTGTTTCAGTGTCACACAAAAACGTTTCATCAGTTTGTTTTTTTTCTACTTTCATTTTCTTCATTTTTGTCATTTTCACTTAACGCTTTTAACTCACACCACATACATTGTGTATCGCACACCTAATAAATTCTTTCTAATTATTGTTTCTGTTATTAATTTAATTCACTTTTCTAGTTCATCGTGTGTCTCGGATATTCGTGTTGTCCTGTTCAATGCGATATCCTTTCAACAAAAAAATAATAATAATACGTATGTAGTTTGTTGACGTTGACATACAGCATATCATTTACTACTATCATCAACTTGCACTTTATTGTTCCAATACATTCACGGGTTTAGTCCATTGACGTAAGGCAGGACCGCACAATGTGTAACTGTGAAATGAATGCATTGACAATGCATGTTTTGGAATTGAATACACACACAAACAAAAATCGATACGTTGGCATTATTTCAATTAAGTTTTTCAATCGTGTCTATTTACTTTTTACACTTCGTTTCAATGGCGCAGTAAATCTTCAAAAATGGAATACAATTAATATATATATTTATATTTATTTGAATATAGGGTAAGGTGAGAGGTTTCTTACAAGTGCTTTTGAAAATTGTTTAATTCGATAGAATTTATGTTCGTTAATTTAACATCATTTGTTTAAACGGGTGTCAGGTGTTCACTATTGTGAAACATGCCCTCCGGATTATTACGATCATGTAAACAATGCAAAAGCTTAATAGTGTTAACAATGATCGTGATTTTACTATTTGATCATAAAATGGTTAATTTTTGTTGTTGTATATGAGAGTATTGTATTGATTTTTAGCATCGATTGAGAAAAAAATGAACGGAAAAAAGTTCAAAACGAACATTTGTTGCTGTTGCTATATACACATGATATATACATATATATGCGAATTCTCGAATTCGGTTTTACAAGCTGCCAATCAAATGTAAACCAATAAAATATATATAAATATGGATATGTGGTATATAACGATGCGCCGATATGTGAAATGCGGGAAAATTTTCCTCGAAATTTGCTTTGATTTGTGTTCGAAGAATTATGAGTTTGGACAAAAATGATTCTTATTAATCTAGATTTTATTAAATGGACACAAATAAAAGCCATACAAAGAATTAAATGCCAATGTCTGGACACATGGATGTCCATTGTCTTTTCGATTTTTCATAGCGAACGATTGAACAGTTCAAATGTATATAACAATTAATAATAACAGGAATTAAACACGGACGCTATGCTGTCCGTGCACTTTCAAATCTTTTTTTTGCTCCAAAATAACAATCGTTTATTGTGTATAGTACGATTTTTGTGCGTGTGAATTATTCACAATTTTCTTCCTTTTGCGTTGTGTTGGAAAGAGAGAAAAAGGAAGTAAAATAGTTTTGTAAATTTATTTCTATTATCATTCGTTTTTACTTTGTTTTGTTTACAAACAAATGCTCGAATGCATCGCAACGATGAATGAATGAACGAACGAACAAACAAACGAACAAACCGAAAATAATATTGAAGAAAATAGAAAGAATATCGTCCGCCACGAAAATAAACATTGTAAATATGTTTTGGTGTTCGAACTTTTCATATAATATTCATAAATAAATCAAAGTATACAAGCTTCGATCACAATATAATCCATTTTAGTTTTCATTTTGTTTTTGTTTCATATAATATGCTTTAGAATTATAGTAATTTCGTCATTTTGGATATTGAAATTTTAATTTGCCCTAAAAATCGATAAAAACGAAAATTATTGTCAAGTTTATCTAGATTTCAGCCATTTTTTTTTCTTCATATGTGTTTTAAACGTAGGTCAATTAGAATGAGTCTTCGCATTTTTGTGCATTTTTGATGCGCGAAGATAATCTGATTTCCAAATCAAATAACTTACGCCAATTTTTTTTTACACTTTTCAACAAATTTTAATGCTTTTTGAATATTTTGATTCAATTTTCACGGTTTTCCGCGAATAGAGTTTGCGTTTTGTTTATTTTGTCTAATGTCAAAGGTACCGCATTATAGTTTTAGTTTTGCTTTTCATTTTACTTAACATAATTTCCCTAAAAATTATTATTATCATTCACCTATGGTCTATATTGACTAATTTTAAGGATTTTTTTTGTTGTTTCAATAATTTTAATTTATTGTATTAGGTTTCCAATCATTTGCTATAATTTTGAGTTTTTTCCATGTCAATATACTAACGTTTTCTTAGAATTCGTTGCGAAACAAACAAAATATCTTGATAAATTTTGACCTTTTTTAACTGTCGGAATCTTTAAATATTTTGGCTTTGAAGAAAAAAAAAACATCCCGAAATTTCGGTGGAAAAAAAGTAATCTGCGAGAAAAATTGATCCAATTTTTGTTTCAAAGTTACTTCTATTTAATGATTTCTCTTATGCTTTTGTGCAACCGTTAATTAAAATACGGCAATTTGCAATTTATTTCATTTAGTTTTTTCTTCTGTGAATTATTCTAAATTCGAACTTCTAATTCGATATTCCGAAAGAAAAGTGCTTACAGTTAGTAAATAAATGATTCACTTTAATTTCTTTTTCTCTTCAATTCATGACGTTATTTACACGGTTCACACTCGTCGAAGCTTTTGATTCCAATACTAATTTTATTTTTTGGTTCGATTTTATTCGACGTTTTTCCCTCTTCGACTCTATTATTTTCTAACGAATAAATAGCTTACGTGTATTTCATGGCCTTAAAAATGTGCCAATACGATGATTCTTTTCTTCCTATAGCCTTCATTTCGTCTTAATTTAGATGTAACTTATCAATGACACTTATCACGCTGATAGTATCCAGACTTGTGACACAATGAGAATGTGCAAGAAAATCGCCCAGCCACTAAGTAGAGTAGACGCACCGCCACATTGTTGAATCTCAATTTCTTCGGGATGATAATTTATGCACTTTGTGGGCCGTTTGCGTGGCAAACGCTCCTTCGTCATGCGACGGTGGTTACATGCAGCTGAAAAACAAAGACATTGATTTTTATTTGTTCATTTTTTCTCTCTCTTTTTTCTAAATTTCAACAAACCTATGCCGCCTGGTCCAAACGCTCCAGTTGTCACTTCTTGTGGTCCAATGTCTAATTGTTTTGAACCGCACGGACAGAGTGTATCAACGACCAACAATATTAAATTGCTGTGCGGAATTTTTTGAACACTAAATGGACGCTCGCAACCGGATGAATGGCAATTTGTCAGTTTTCCCTTAAGTGGTGTGCTCGAATTCAGTCGATCCGGTTGTAGTACAAACAAATCGGTTTTCAAGTCGCATGGTCGTGTGTATGATGCATCTGGTACAACTTTGGCGGGTGTTGAAGTGGAAACAGTTGCTTTTGGTACACTTTGTGATTTTTCCTCAGGCTCACTGTGTTCGGTGGTTTGTTCAACGACATCATTCGGTTCGGCAGCCTCATCGTCATATTCATCGGGATAGGTTTCATCTTCGGACTCATCGACCAAACTGTGATCCATGTATTGTTCGCTATAATGAGGCCATGATTGTACTGGATTTGGTAAAAGTGAAATCCATGTGGTTGCAAATGATACAATATATTTGAAAAGCCACGAGAAATGATGATTTGGTCTTGTAGTCAAATCACCAGCCGCCGTATATGGATTTTCACGATCCGAACATAAACCCTGATAATTCATCAGGGAAACACGTCGGTAGATGCGATCTTGTACCAAGGAATCCATGATAGTGCCATCAATGTGACCGAAAAATTTGCCAGTGTGCTCCGTACTTTCGGATATTATGACAAATCCATTGTTGTCGAGTACATAGCAATCTAATTCATCGGAAGCACATGTCTTGCGACAATTACCCATGCCAGTACAAGCGGATGTAATATTTTTGAAATGACGTGCCAACGAATCGTGCTGATATTGGAGACCAACAACAGCTGCCGGAGCTTTATTGTGTCCACGATGATCTATGAAAATTGCATGTGCCGCTGTCACCAAGGTTGCATTCGATTTTCCCGTGTAGCCAGAATCAAATGGCACACTAAACACAAAGCTATCCGGCTCAATGGAATGTTGATCAACAGCTCGTTTATACCACGTACTATCCATTGCTTTCGCATAAACTTCTCCGAAATGTCTAAAATAATGGAAAATATTGCCAACGTGGAATTAAACGATTCAAACATTTTTAACTTTTAAAACGAATTTCGCTTAACACTTACGGATCAGGTGAACTTGGATCATGTTCAATGTGGTCTTTCCAACGTAAGAGTCCCGAACGGGTAGCAACAAATGACAGCTTTATTCCAAACATTTGGTATCCTTGTCTGTAAAATAGATACAAGCATTAGTTAAAATTGAAGAGAAAGCGCTTTGAAATCCCTCATCTTTTTTTTGTTCTTTGGAGACTCATCATTATCTTCGAGAAATCAGATTTCAATTAACTTCAAGAGATCGAATATTAACAAAAAAAACAAGCAATCCAAAGTTTTTGAACTAAAACTTAAATATTCATTACTTCCCTTGGGAAGAGCTTTTAAGCCTTGAAAATTATCCCTCTCCCACCAAGTTAAATATCTACTCGTTTGCACAAATGAACTTCAAAACCCCAAAAATAATTGATTTTATTTCGTCCAAAGTTCCGTTTCAATTCCACGTGTAATTTTTTGAATTGCTTGTTTTTTTTCCAGAATATTAAATCAAACAAAATGCGATTTGTAACGCATATTGTATTCAATTTACCGACTAATGCAAATTGATTAGTCAGAAGTGCTTTATTTTACCTGTGCAGCAAAGCCATTAATGTGGCGATTGGACTATTTTGCATTTAAATTAAGTTTGAATGGTAATAATAATTTGTGTGCTCATTAGTTTGGATATTAAAAATGATTAAAGTGATTAAATAAAATGTTGGTGAATTTATTGTAAATGTGATCGAATCAATTGATTAAATAAAAATAAATTGAAAACATAACGATTCACATTGAAAGCTGAACGTATATTAAACAAACGTGTATAATATGAATGTGTCAATAAAAATAAATAGATATAATTCACTCACTGTTTATCTTCACGTCGCGGTGGATGCGACGGTTGGTCCAATTCATCGGTAACCTTGGCATCACGCACCAAACTCTGTACTAAATATCGATCGCAGTAATATGGTTCGGCTTTGCGTGAGCCTTGTCCGTTGTTTCCATTGTGATGGGCATGATGGCCGCCATTTGGCGATGCACCATTATGGCCGAAATGGGGAACAGGAGATCTTGGCCTCACTGACATCCATTTCCATCGCGGACGGCCAGCCCGTGCCAAGAAATGTAAAACTTGGTCTTCAGCCGTTTCAAAGCTTGTTCGTTCATCATTCGATGATGACGTTTCGCCGGAATTTTCACGTTCCTTTGCGAAATCATACAAGCTATTGTATTCGCAGTAAACCCTAGAAATAAATAAAAACACATACACATTAGCATCGTTTCTCACTCTCTTCAAATCGATGTTGAAAAAGAACTAAATCAACAATAAATACTAACCAGTCGGGATGTACTCGCCAATCTGTACCTTTCAAATATTCAGTTACTGTAGATGGGATAAATGGAATATGTTTAATAAATCTGTTTTCAATACGAATAGAAATGTGTCTGTATTTGCTTACCATTTTGATGCGAGTGGCGAATCTCTTCCTGCGAACTCAATTCATACATTCCATATTTGTCGGGCAATGCGATAGCAAGTGTAAAGGGAGTTCCATCAATCGGACCATAAAAATATCTATGAATTGATGAAATGAAAAAGAGGATAGAACGGTCAAAATACATATAGGAATGATATGGTCATCAAAATATGTCAAATGCATTTCCAATTTTATGTAGCATATGACATATCATGTAATTGATTTTTCAATGGTTTGAATGTCAACAAACCTTTGTGTACGTGTTGAGACTCGTTTCATATCGTCCGAATGTGTCAAAAGCGAAAATTCCATTTCACCCTCTTTTTGTAACACCATCTCATGTCGCATCTGATAGTTTTCAAAAGCAACAAATACAGAAAGAGAATATAAAAAAAAACCATCGTAAGAATTCGGAATTGATTGTTGTTGATAAAAACATTTTTGCAATTTTTGGCCTGAATTTCGTTTGTCGCTTGATAGAATAAATCATGGATTCAAATAAAGTGTTTCACTCTCCCATTCTCTCTCTCTTTCTTCCAAAAAAATGAATTTTGTCACATTTTCCCTTGAGCAGTTTTTTCCTTAATTTTTCTTCTACTTTGATTCCACTTCGCGTGGCGTATTGTTTTCTTACTGCGTCCGCTTTCAAATTTGGCGGAAACTCTCACTATCACTTCAATGAACGGGGGCATTTGAAAAAGATTTAAAATTCTACGAATATCACAACAGAAACTAATAAATTCTCCACTTAACAAGAAACAACTTTAACCCAGATAAAAGCAAATGCCATATTGCGTTATCGTCTGGTTTAAATATATATACCAAAAATAGTAGTGAAGCAAAAAAAATTATTCAAAGAATGTGTCGTTAGAGCGGCAACAAAATCGATAGTTTTTAGTGCATAATAAAATACAATCGCAAATAAATAGAAGGAGATGGAGAGAAAGAAAAAAAAATTAAATGCACTTGGGGGAAATTGGTAGTGTGAGAGAGCAATTCCATGGAAATTCCTCAACACACGCTTCTATCACGTACTTGTAATAAATTTTGTTGCAAAGCGAAAAACTGCAGAAGGGAATATATAAGGAAAACGTTGCAACGTACACACTCTCTCCAAGAAAGTTGACAAAAACATGAGGAGATACAAAGAAGTAACGAGTGAACAAACAACAGCAACAACAAGAAGAAACACAACCGTTCAAGCGACAAAACAAAATTCTCGATATCTAGTAATGCACACAAATCTCAACATTATTCGCTCCCTATCTCTCTTTCTTCGTCGTTTCGCTTAAGAAAGTACGTACATCAAGCAACATGTTGGAATTCTCATTCTCCCTTTCCGTGTCACCGTTTGCCATGCCGTTCGCATCACTCTCTGGTAGCTCCACTTCGGTTAGATCAGTCACACTATATTTCGGTTGAAGTGTATTGACATATTGCGATTTGTCGTCCTGAAAAAAGAAAAAGAAAACGATTGAGATGCTATTTCAGTATGACAATTTTCTTTCTACGAAATCGAAATAAATTTCGCTAAGTGAGTCATTGACGATAGTTGAGTGGAGGCGGCATAACAGGCATACAATGTACAATGAATGATATGAAATGTCATTCAAATTACCAAAAGTCGCAAGTCGGGATGATAAAGGACTTTTCCATTGTTGTCCACTATGAACGAGTATCCATTTGCGCCAAGCTACATGAAATGTGGTGAGAAAACATTTTTAAAATTGACAGTTGAAAAGTGAATGAATTCCATTTTACAAATAATAACACTTTCCGGAATCGGAATGTGTCGAAAATACCGCAATGCTTACTTTATATTGTGGAATCATTTTGACAATTTCCTCAATGGAAACGTCAGCACCAACCACACCAAGCAAATTGGCTTGACGAAGTGAATGATTTCGTCGGTCAAATACTGGCGTCGAAACTGTTGTCACCAAACGTCGTTGTCTTTCATTTACATAACCAATATTCCCACTTGGTCCACCAACGAACACCGGACTCCAATGAATTGGATGATCGGCTTGATACAATACCATTGGTCGTGCCATTACCAATGCATAATCAACAACTCGTGCTCTTGCATCCTCGGGTGAATTGATTTGAGCATAAAAACCTATGCAAAATTGAGAGACGATTTTTTGTGATGTCATTTTTCAGCATTGCAAAAAAAATGATGGCAATCAAATCTGAAATACCTTTGTTTGTACATGCAATAGTTTGCATACTGTCACGACTACCTGATGCACCACCAATTAAATACGTGAAAATTCGAACGGGTCGATGCGGCCAATTGTAACGTTTAATTATCTGTAAATATTAAATATCAAAATGTGATCAAAAAATTCTTTGTCTTTAAAATGCAATTTTAAAAACCTCTGAATGTGTTTCGGTTGTGCCGTCTGTAATCAACATTATCGCTTGGTTGCATTGACTGCCCAAACTGGATTGGTTATACTGTGAACGAAACAGAAAAAAGTAAATATATTTCAATTGTTGAAAATGTGAAAAATGCAAAAGTGTCGTCATTCCTACCCGATGGAAAATTTAAAAAGCGTATTGCATTTTTCACATTTTCTCTAGATTTAAAAGTAACAAGTTTGATTTCTTCATAAATGACACTGTCAATGCGTGTAATGCATGTGTATGGGTTTTTCTTTTTCCAATCATTTTGTTTCTCTTATGAAATACAACGAATATTTTATAATATAAATACTATAATATGCGCTAACTTCAACATCATACGGTCGTAGTTTATCACAAATATTTTGAACATATAAACCAAAAAAAGATGCAAATAGTATAATCAAAATTGGAAATTGAAATTGAATGCAAAATGAACTACACAGTATCGTAGAGGTGTCAGCGAACGCGTTCGTAGAAAGAAATGTTTGTTCGTTTAAAAAAAAATTGGTTTGTGTTCGTAAAGACCCACACTACGTTCGAACGCGTTCGTTCGCAGAGTGGAAATTGTTTTTCGTGTTCGTTCGTGTTCGCAAGGATCCCAATAAACCATTTTGTCCATTCGGGAGCGGTCTCTTTTATTGAACATAAAATGGGTTATTTTCAGTGCTCTTAGTTTACGTTATGTGATCAATTATTAGAAATCACAAATAGGAATCCGCAAAAGAAAGGGTCGTTCAGGGCATGGATTAAGCGCCGCTAGATAAGTTCCGATAGGAGAATGATAAGAGTGTGAACCACTCACAACTGTCAAGATGTAAAATAGATGTAAGAATTAACAATAAATCAGTCTCTCAACAGAACTCAGCGGACTCTTTTATTGAACAATCGCAAATGGTGTGTGCCAAACCCAGACAACAATAATTCGATAAAATACACAAATTTCTTTACTGCGGTGGAATAATAGCCACGTTAAATCATTGTTAATTCAAATATAAAATGAAGTTGTATTTCATTGCAAAATTATTGATTTGAAGAGAGTCGTTTCATTAATGCATTAAAAGATAACTACACAAATGATATACATTGATTTACATCTTTTCCAAATTTAAGAACTCATTGAAAGGAATTGGTCTCTATATTATTTTAAGCAAATAAAAACCGTAACGCATTAAATTAAATCAAGTTGAAAACATTCATAAGCCTTTCTACTATTAGACATTTTTTAACCATATCCATACCCGATTGAGAATTTCAAATCCATATTGCATCCCCGCTGTGAAATTGGCTACATTTTCACATTTTATCGCTTTCACCGCGTCTTTCATCTCTTTAATGTTGTCAGCATAAGCACGAACCTATGAATCAATAAATGCATGTCACAATATAAGATTATTCATGATGAATGACAGTTGTCAATCGATGAGAATATTTGGATGTATCAGAAATTACCATTTTATCTTTGAAGCATGGAACCACAGATCTGGTTTTGTCCGAGAATGCGATTAGGTTAACATAATCGTTATCACTAAGCGTATCAAGTATCGCTGACACCATTGTAATAGCCAAATCAAATGATTTTCCCGACATTGAACCAGACGCATCCAACAATATCATCTGGAAAATATAGACAAAATTCAAACAATTATTCATTGAATTCAACACACACGAAGAAAGAGATGTGAAAATATTGAACGTACAATATCTTTTGGTGAAGATGCAGCTTGTATGAACCAGTCTTGTGTGCGAAAGTCATTGATTGGTTTCTTTTCCGTTGAGCCCGTATGTGGCCATGGTGTACCTGGAAAGCGACGCATAAAACCCGCAGTTGAACCGAAATATTGCCAAGAAAGTGCTGCATCACGTTCCAAATTGTTTGCAAATATTGGATCCAAATGCGCTGACCACGCAACCGACGATTGCACATTCGAGTCTATATTTGATTTAATTTTTTATGTGAACCAAGAAATGAATAATTCATTTGAATGAAAAGATACTGAGTGATTGTAGGTGTCTATGAAATGAGTATATAAATTTTTTTTTACCACTTAAGCTGATGCCAGCCGGTGCAAGAACGGAACTGTGCGTTAAGTTAACAATTAATTTTTCAAATCGTCGAATTGGCTTGGGGGGCAAATCTTTTGTGTCGTCCGACATGTAATCGTTGATGTGCCTCGTTTCATACAGACGATGCGAGACTTGCGATTGAACCTGATGATGATGATGTGCTGAATCACGCTCCGATTCGGATAATGCCGCTTGTTCAGCGGTCTCCATCACTCTCTGTATGCAGAGACAAATGTAAGTATTTAGTATGAAAAAAGGAAATGCAATTCAAACAACAACACGGCCGGAAGATGTTAAACAGTAATAAATCTTTTAAAAAAGAAGCTAAATCTTTTTCAACCACATTGCAAACACACACAAACAAGCAAAAAACAAGAATTATGATGCGATGATTGCTCCAACAACAACGGACTGGAAAAAAGCACACATTTTGCTTCTTTGATTTAAAGTTGTGGGTGGTGTATAGTCGCATTTCATGGAAGAAAATTTAATTAGCATTACATAAATTCGGTTCTCGACGTACACACAAGTACAACAAATGAATGTTACTTGAAAAACGTTTTTCATGTTGAAATTCTGTGTTTGCTATTTGTATGTGTTGGATGTGACTTCGCTTATCATATGCAAATAAGAAAATAATGGTTGAGGAAGAGAAAGACTGAAAATGATGTATATGTTACATTCAACACATACAAAAAAAATAGAAGAAAAAAAAACAACTTTTGAAATCTCTGCACACTCACTAAAACTGAATTCATTTTAAAATCCATAAAATTTTTCACTTCAGCCGTCAGTTCTCGTAGCAGTATTATGCCATTCTTGCGTATAACTTCACCATCCAAGTCCTTGTATTTCTGTTCAGAGACGAAACAGAGAAGTAAAAGATGAAAAAAATAATACAAATAGAGAAAGAGAGGAAAAAAATTACACGAACTGCATATAATATAATCAGTTATGCAAACTTTTAGTTATATGTATATGAAACTGTGTACGGGCGCATATTTGATTGGTGGATGCATTCCGTTTTCCCTGTTCACAGCAATGTAGCAAAGTTTATGACGGAAAATTCATTCGTTTATTGTACCATACGTATCGTTGAAAATATTTCGTTCGTTTATAACTTTGTTTAAATTTTAAACTCGTTCTGTATATATACGAATGTTCAAAACGAACAAATTTGGTTTGAAAATCTTACCCATTACTATTGCTGGATTTTCTACTTTCAGTTAAATCGAGTTTCGGTTAGACATTCAATTTTTTTGTGTGTTCTCTTTTTTTCTTGAACACAGTAAAAATTCTTTTGGAAAAAAGGGCCGTTCGTCACATTCATTTCATTTTAATATTGATTTATGCGTGAAATTGTTGTCTATAATTGAATCTTTATCGGTTTCAAGTCTGCGAATCTTCTGCGACGAAGATAAGGAATCTGCTTCAAAAAAATATCTTAAGCAGACAAAAGTTACGAATGAAAGAGAGGAAGGGGATTGCGATAAAGAAAGAGCGACATAAATTTGCAATCTTTTGCCAACGGTTAAGTCTATGTGTGAAATAGTAGACTTAGGTAAATGTAACAGTGCCATGATTCAAGATTCAGTTTTATAGAGACAGAGGGTAAAATGAAAAATTATGGCGAGACTTATGGTAGATGAACTATGTATACGTGAGCCGCTGTTTCCATTTTTCATTCAAATTTCGCGAAATGTCGAAGTTATCATTTCATATTTTTTTGTTGCGTTCAGCAGTAAAAATCGCATGAAATCAAATAAAATTAATAATCTATAACGATTCCAAGAAGTGTGTCTACCTTTTTTTTCTACGCATTGAGTATGGGTTTACTGATTTTTGTACCTAAATTTTTTTTTCATTTTGAAGCGATATTATTTTAAATTGAAAAGAGTCAAAATACTTACATTTCGGATTTCATTCATTTTTGTGAATTGTCGACCAAATTCCCAAAGATCAACGCCAAACTTTAACGCCCAATTTCGTACTCTGTAAAGAGAAACAACGGAAAAAATATATGAAAAAATTTTCTGCATAAAAATCCAGATGGCAAGTATGAATATTTGCATATTTTTTTCTCCCCATCCAAAACATTCCACAGATTTACGCGCACCGTAAAAATATGACGAAGTGTCTGAAGGTGAGAAAATGCGAGACTACGAGCACATATTTACAAAGTGCCACCATATGAAAGCACTGATGCAGAAATATCAATAAAAGAGAGTACAAAAAATTGCACAACTTCCTCGTTTGACTAAAAAAGGGGTGTCTCTATTCATAATTTGTGTCTGCTTTTTGCAGTATCAAAGAAATGATGCTCGATAATGTTGAAGTCACGGCATGACAATGTCAATGACTTATTTTACATGAAACACTGTGTTCCAGAATTATTTCCTTCATTCTGCGAAACAGTTAATTGCGAGTTAAAATCAAAATCGTGAGTATGTTCAGGAAAAGCATGTTTTTTTTTGCATTATTTCAACATGTTATTCATCTTTTATTTCGTACTCTTTTTCGAAACAGAAGACGAGAAAAAAAATTTGTACATGAATTATATTCACTTAACTTCAAATAAAATTCCATGATTCACCATGGAATGCAACTAGATACCAAAAACTACTTTACATTTTACAACGATTGTTACTGGTACATTTCTAAGTATTATTCACAAATAATCGGTCGTAACCAAGACAACGATTTTCTTCGTAACTTCTCTCCATTTCTCACTCTTTTTATCTCCTCGTGTCTGGGAAACAGAAGAAGGGCATAAACATACGCCCTGCAGCACTGTACTCAATCATCATGCATGTATGCGTGCATGTCTATATGTGAATATATGTGTTGCAATTTTCGAATAAAAAACAACAACAACATTATTCGAAATATTAACCACCAACATTCGTTTCTAAAATACGAAATGGTTCGCATGAATCTCGAATCGAGAAATGTTGGTGAAATACTTTTAAAAATGACTTGATTTGTCGTTTTGCGATAACGGAATTGCGTTCATTTCCTCTGTTTGCTGTCTGTAAAAGAATGCAATAATATGTCGACAATGAATAAAATGTTGTCGCGTGTGCATTCAGCGAAAAATAATTGGAGAGAAAAAACTAGAATGTAGACCAAACCAAAGTTGTGCATTGCAATTAATGATAAAGAATACGTTTGTTTCCCCGGCTAAGACAGAGAATGAAAGACAACGAAGGGAATAGATAGAAAGAGACAGGGGCAAAGTGGAGATGTGGTTTCAAGAGCTTCTGCTATCAATGTACTTTAAATGGTGCAATTCAGCCCAGGGGCCATAGATGTAAGATCACACTTGAACTAATTTTTCCTTAGATTTGTAACGCACGAAAACAAAGCGCTCGAAATGAGCATTTCAAAAAAAAAGAAGTCGGTACAAATCGAAAGAGTGCGTGATATAAAGAAAAAAAGTTTAAATAAATAAAAATGTATGAACGCAAGAAATATCACGAGAAATTATTATTAGAAAAGCGGATGCAGAATCGGAGAACTGAAATATATAAACTTTTCTCTCGTTGGAATTGTTGATCCAGTTTTCGGTTGTGTCGAGAAAATAGCAGTGAATGTTTTGTTGGAGTTCAGTTTGGCACACAACTTTTAGATATATATATATTTGTTTCGATGATATCGAATTTTTTTCGACTCTCTCTCTCTCTCTCTCTCTCTGTCATGAAATCTCAACAATACAATATGGCCCCGTTTAACCGTCGTATCTTGCCGGAATTTTCATTTGATCTAAATCATTTCTTTGTGTCGCAACGGAAAAACAAAGTTTAAATTATTATTGCAAGTTACATGTTTTTCGCCCAACAACAGAATGTTTGTTCCATACACATTTCTAACAAGCTTAAATTCGAACACCGCTTTTTGATTCTGTTGCCACACACACATATATACACACATACATTCATTTATACGTGTTCGGCCACATAGTTTTATTTTATCCTTGCAAACTAGTGCACACGGCCATACGGTTTCAATGCCGAAACTTAACTTTGTCTATTTTTTATTCTCTACTTTGCACTCGAATGGGTATGTACTTTGTTGCTTTCTTTCTCTTAATGCTGTTTGCTGTGAACATATAACACGACAATGCAAAACCATAATGCCCCACATAAATAGAGCAAAATAGCTGAATATTACACTCAAAACTATGTGCTATAATATATATATTATACCGCAAAACTGTCAAAATATGCCGAATGGCAAAACAGCCAAAGACAACTAAGAGTTTCTTTCGTATTCTGTATCATTTTTTTTGTTATTGTTGGTGTTATTTTCGTGGTTCTTTCATCCCGTATACACTGTATTTGTTGTCGAAACTCGAATAGGAGGAGAGAGAGAAAAATAGGAGCTTGAAGATAAGTGTTTTTAGAACAATATGAGGGCATAACAATGATTATAATTTCAAAAGTCAATTTGATGCACTCTCATTTTGAATTGATTGAGGTAAAACATTTTGTGATATAAAGTTTGTTGCTTTTTTAAACTAAGTACTTTGTCACAGCAATAGCAGCAGCGGTAGCAGCCGAAGAAAAAGCTCAAAAGGCAACATTGGCGTCATTCAAAGGTTTATGTATGGAATTTGACAACAATATACAAATCATGATGCTTTTGAACTTTCTTATGCAGAAATTAAGAAGAGAAGAAGAAAAAATCTGCCATCAGAGAGAAGACAAAAAAAAAATGTGAAGAGAAGCCTGTTCAAAATTTGAGATAAAGGACATTTCTAAAGACGCATAAATTGCAAGAACATCTTAAAGATTTCCTTATTGAATTTTCCAGCCCAAAAAGTGTTGAAGCGCATACACAATTCGGTTGAAAACGTATGATGAAACTTTGTCGGTTGCCATATGGTCGTTTTCGTTTCGCCCGCTTGAAATATGGAATGCATCGCAGCCGCCACTCTACCATTGCCACTCCTAAATAGGTTGATATGAAAATGTACATTATAAAATGTCTACGTAACGTATGAACGATGATGATGCAATGGAATCGATAGGGAAGTTGAAGAAAAAGAATCTCTCGTCGTTGGCAAATAGATTGGGAATTAAGGGCTTGAAATATTCAAACAAGTTTTGAGATGAATTGCATTTTCTCGACGATGACTAAGTTGCGGTAGTGGTGTTATTATCGCATCTAGCTGCACTCGAATTTACTAGGTAAATAGATGCATCGAAAAGCGTCTTCTCAATTCTTCTTTGCTTTGCCAATCTTTTTTTTCTTCTCTATTCCGTTCATTCAAACACCGAACAGTATACGAAATGCACCTACATCTTTAAGGTAATAATAATAGTGCACAAGACCGTTTTGTGAAGATGTACGAGATGCATGAGCATCGTGTTAAAATTGGGAAGTAGGTGGGTATTTGGTCGGTGAACTCCGAATTGTAATGATATATGGCAATGAATTTGTGGTTTGTTTTGCCAGCATGTCTGTCTGTACAGTAGACAAGATGAAAGATTCTTATTCATTTTCCATTTTGAATAAATGTATGCTGTGGAAATATTGAGGAAGAAATTCGCTGACATTTTTGGTTTAAAATGTTTTGTGTTATTTGATTGAGGCTCTCTCCTAAGTAAACAAATATTGGTACATTGAAATGACAATTTTTTTGTTTTTTCTTCGGCTTATTCTTTGTGTTTTTGGTCTCTTCGTTAGAACGAAAACTTTCTTGAAAAGTTCAAACATGTCCATAATTCAAGGAGAGAAATCAAGTAGTTTTTGCAAACAACAAATCTTTCTTCAGTTCAGTCCACGAACGATATATATATATATAATTCCCATATACATCAATTTGAACTCGCATCGATAGCTTCGAATCGAAAAAGATATCCGTTTACTTGAAGGTTTTGTGCATGTGTATATATTTGTGTGTGGTGTGTGTGTGTGTGGCGCGGGCGAGTGAGTGTGCGGTGGTTTATGGATAGGTACAAGTGATGGATAATGCTTTGCACAACGTAAAGGCATCTGTGTGCATGAATGATAAATGGTGCGGAGTGCCTAAATTCAGAGTACGTGAGCTTTTATCGTTCGATTGAGCTCAACATTCCAACAGTTTTAAGTGAGTTAGTTCCCTCTCCTTGTACTTTCAATTGGAATGAGAGATGGGCGAAAACATGTTTTTCATTTATGAAATCTCTGATCATTAAATACATTTGTTGTATTTTTTTCTCTTGCTTTCTTTATCCTGACGAGCATAAATAAATTCCAATAAAGCGCTTCTGATTTTATTACGAATCAATATGTAGGGCGAAGTACCGAAAAAAACATGATTGACGACGGACGGTCGGGTATACTCGCGCGTACCGAATAGAGCAGCAGCATTAGTGACAGCAGAGTAAAGGGAAAGCCGAATTTTTGAATTTCTAATGATGTAATGGAAATGTGTGTGTGTGTGTGTGCATGCAATTCAAATGAAATGCCTCACTTGACCTATTCATTAAGTGGATTTCGGATGAATACACAATGAGAACAACAGCATTTATAAAAAGTGTTTCATACTTGACAATCGACTTGACATACACAGCAACAGCAAATAAGCACAACAAAATATCATCGACTAAATTGGCAATGCATACACAGTACAGACATTACATTTTACGAGAATAATTGTGAGAGCATATATTTAGTCGTGTTATATCGATTAGCTGTTAACTAATACATTTTGTTTCTCTTTATTTTTGGTTTTGCGCTTTTTTCCATTTTCAACCATCATCGAGTCAAGCATTTCTCATCCATATACATACACACGCCACTTACTATGTTCTCCTACATTTTTCTTTCATTAACATTGACTATGTTAGATCTTTTCGTTATGAATTTTGTTGTTGTTTTCCATTAGATAGTAAAAATTTGCTCGTCTGCATGTTCACATTCATGGACATATTTGTAATTGTCGAGAACGTGTGTATACTAAATATGCAATTTTGATGCCATTGTTGTTTTCTTTTTGTTTCATATACGTACGCGAAGAAAAATATTTATATGTGTCCTTGTCTCATTCGATGTTGTTCGTTTAGGTCGTGTTCCAGCGATACAATTGAGGAAAATGGTAGAAACAAGTACTTTGTAAATTACATATGCATATGTTACTATTTTTGCACGTATTTCCCTTGCATATTTCATTCGAGTCGCTTGTTGGTTAAATTGAAAAGAGCTCTAAAGTAAATACCACCATATTTGCGCTTAATAATCATCGTTCATCTATATGTGGCAAAAACTTTCTTGAAGTAAGAAAAACTCTAAGTAGCTTTCTTATTTCCTCATGAATTTTTGATTCCGTTTTTTCTCCATTAAATGGACCGACACCGAATTCAATTATCTATTGATTTTTCAGTCATAAACAAACTTAGCATAACTTTCTCGCATTCATTTTTCAATAAAATTCATTCGCGCTCCCGATCGTAAGTCATTACAGCGCAGGTGGACATTTTCAATTTATGTCCCAGTGTGTTATTTTTTGTGTGTGTGTGTGCAAGCACGGTTTTTGTTCCCAATTCCAGTGATTTTGTAACTCAAGGTATTTACAAGCCTTTACATGTAAATTAAAAATACATATGCATATAGTTCATACGTGTAAATTGAATGCAATGTCATTTGTGGACATGTAAAATCTATTGTCTCAA